AGAAATTAAACCAACACCCCTTAAATTTATAGAAAAATATCAACTTTATAGAAAAATATTAATGTAGTGTCAGATTTCTGGGTGATTTCCGCCCATTTTAAGAGAAAATTGATTTCTGTAAACTTTGCTATTTTTTTTGTACTTTACAAAAAAAACATTTCTGTAAGTTTTTTAAACCAAATACAGTTTACGAAAATCTACAGAAAAATTTTAATTACAGAAATTACCATTGTCAGACATTTTGAGAAAATTTTTCTATAAAATTGTGCAACCAAACACCTCCTAAGAATATCACTAAAACTTAAAACTTGTCTTCCACCCATTTCCTCAAAAAAATCATGAAATAAGTTTCCTTAAAATTGTGTCACATCCCCCAATAAGATGATGTCAACTCATCTATCTCTTCTCTTTTCTTATTTTTAGGAGGTGAACCAAACAAAAAAAAAGAGCCTATTATAGGAAATAGTTTTCCCATAATAGATTTTTCCTTTTTTTTAAACCAACCAAACATCCCCTTAGACTATGTAGAATGGTATGTCTGTAATTTTATAAGTAGTCTGAAAAAAACTGTGGCCATATTCTCTATCTACATATATGGACACCCTCTCTCATAATTAGCTTTATCAGAAAGAAAGAAAGAAAAAACCTAGCATGGTCGTGGATGTAAGCAAATTGTCAAACCACGTAAATATACATGTCTTTTGTAACTGTTTTTTTTTGTCTTTTTTGTCTTCTCTCTCGCTTGTAGGAATTTCGAATCCTAATAAGAAAAATAATGTTAGGGGCACACCCCCTAACACACCACCAACCACACCCCCCTCTCCCATCGCTACAGTAAACCGGGCTCCACATGAGATTTTAAAAATTTTAAAATCCCATGTGGGCCCGGTTTACTGTAGCGATGGGAGAGGGGGGTGTGGTTGGTGGTGTGGTAGAGGGTGTGCCCCTAACACCACTCTAACAAGAATATGGCCTGAGGTTTGAGCGAATAAAAGTCAAAGCAAGCACAATAAAGATGATTAATTATAATAAAAAAATGTTCGGTATCTACTAGTATGTGGGAATAGTTTGTATCTGAGTTGTGAATGTATTTTTTGTTGGGAATTTATCAAATAATTAATATTATAGCATGAATTAAATTCGAAATCAAAATAAATAAGAGAGAAGAAAATCAAGCCTGAACGGGAGCAGTCGTGTAAACACTGCCCTAGAAGATTGAGAACCCGCCTATCGCCCTGGCGCAGATGGTTCCCTTCCCCTAGCGGTAAAAACCCCCGGAAACGGTCGGCCTCTACACTCGGGCGAGAGTGCAGAGCTTCAGCTCGGATGAATGAAGTTGCCCATAAAAAACTAAAATGTAGATGAAAATAATATGTAGGGGAGAGAAGAAAAACAAGAGAAACTTGTTGTATATTTTTCTTCTTATCATTTTGAGCTCAACATACGGATATATATATAGGGTTGGAAAAGACGTTACAAAACCCGTAATTAATTCTGTAACGTTCGTCATAAATTTTGTAACGTTCCCCATAATTATATGGCCGTTACACATATTTTTAATTGCTAATTAAAACATGTTTTAATTATAAAACTTTTTTACTATTCATGAAGGCAAAATTGTCTTTTCTTAACAAAATATCTAACAGTCCCCCCCAAAAGGCAATATTGACTGAAAACTTAAAAATCAATAAATAAATTAATAAATCACAAAATGAAAATAGGTTGGGCAACCTTTCGTATCGTGAATTCGGGAGAGGTAGCTTTCGGCTTTGAACCTTTCCTTAGTGAGTTCATCGCCACCTGAGGGACATAATGGACTAGGCCTTGAATTAGGCCCCTTTAATCAGGTATTGATAAAAACACACACAATACGCTTCATCTATTGAGCAAAGAGGGTTGAGCGTTAAAGGCCATGCTCACAATAAACCGACTCATGAGAGTTTCTATGGGTTAGCCCAGCCCCCCCTAACCGCGGCCATCACGGTTCCTCTCACGTAGGTAAGTCCTCAAAGGGTACTACAGCTGTTTATTTAATACCCCCCACAATACACGCGTTGGACTTATTAAGAGTAAAACTCAGCCTAGCCAGCTGTATCATAAGAGCATCGTCATCATAGAGAAGGGGTAGTAGCAAATGCTACATAATGATATATAAATATATCTAGGTCGATGCTCCACACGAGTGTCACTAGTCCAGCTTGTTTCTACCACATTGAACCGACATTGGGACTACGTCTCCAAATAAGGGTTGGGTTGCCGCTGTCAGTGACCTCATCTATGGGCTTAACCCCATCTCCCTCGATGAATCCAGAACCACACTCCTGGATAATCCCTTAGTCAAAGGGTCATCAAGATTCTTTTCACAGACTTTACAAAGTCTAGAATCATAACTTTGCCTAGCAGGCGTTGTATTTATTTATCAAGTTCTTATTTTGTAATTAGTCCATCATATTGTTTGAAATTGACATTAGGTCATGATCTATGATCATAAAAGATCATAGTCTATGTCTGAAGAGATTGACCTTAATATCTGAACATTTCAAACTAATGTGGAACTAAAAATTCTGCAGTTATGCATATGCACATACATGAATGAAATTAATAATAGATACATGCAGAGCATAATAGGATTTCGTATCTTAAAAAAAAATATTTTCGTATCTTAAAATATATTTCATACTTCATAATTCAAATGCATAAAAGTTTTAAAATTCTTCTATTATAAGAGGTTACAAATTGGTTGCCTACAAAGGAGACCGTCCAAATTTAAATCGGTTGCCTACAAATGAGACCTTCCAAATTTAAATTGGTTGTCTACAAAGGAGACCTTCCAAATTTATGTTGCCATTTTCTAGTACCACCTCTTATACAAATAATAATAATAATAATATTTGTACATACGTGCTTTAAATTTTACAAGTGCATTATTGCATAAAACCTTGTAATTAATCATGTAACAAATGCAAGTTATCTAAAAAGACATATGAACATTTATTGCAATATTCATCAAAATGCAATAAAAATGATGAACTTTACATTTGAAGATTTGAAATATAATCCACCATATAAAATAAAATTTTTTAAAAAAATGCACCTCTTTGATTTGGTTCGCTTATATATTGATCATTTATCATTAGGCAATATATGATGCAAGAAACATAATTAAATAAATGCATATGAATTTTTTTCTCATAATTCCGGACCTCTTATTCCAAACCAAAAACTCCTAAAGCAAAAGATTAAAGTTTTACTCGGGTAGTTAGCCAGGTAAGGATAGTAATAGAGGTTGATCAAAGATCAATTAAGTACCTCGTTCCTTGCAGAGCGCGTTACGCAACCCTTAAACCTTGCCTTAGACACCAACTAATCCAAGAAAACTTGAATCGGTTCACTCAATGAGTTTTTGTTCCTTAACAGTATATAGAAACTTTAAATTATTTCCTGCAATCATTTAAATTGCCTAGCAATTATACTGCAAACATATGATGGATAAGGCCGAGGAGGGGTTTACCTATTGATGTTCGAACCTCATGATTTTCATGTCTTGAGAGTAAAACTCATCTGCTGCAGACAGCTGCCACTTAAGTTGCTGAACAAATCTGCATTCACTTTTACCACCTTCTGTACTAAGCTTATTAGATGTATAAGCACTTCAAAGTATGGAATTATTAATAATAGAAGGTACCAATAAGGGTAGGTTTTAGATGATTCTAACAAATATAAACTAGGCTTTTAGAAACCAATAAAGGTTCTTTGATATTCGTAACTTGCAATCTGATACTTGCTCTAACTTTAGAAGTTTTTTCAGCATTATGAACCAAAAATGTTTAAATGAACAGTAACATTTTTTAATAAAATGAACAGTAAAGTTTTTTTAAATGAACAGTACTGTTTTTAAATAAAATAAAAAACGGTTTTTAATGAACAGTAAAATCCTTTTATTTTTGAATGAACAGTAAACTTTTTTTAAAAACATTAAAAACTGTTAAAAATGAACAGTAATGTTTTTTTTAAATAAAATTAAAATCTGTTTTTTTTATGAACAGTAAAATTTTTTTTTTAAATTTTTTTAAAACAAAAGGTTAATTAATAGATAAGCAATTTAGCAGCAATAAATTTTTTTTAAATTCGGATGAACAGTAACCATCTCGAATGAACAGTAACTTTAAAATAATTCGGATTTAAATCAAAAGCTATAAACATTTCAATCTTCTAGATTGTTGGGAATTTATCAAATAAATAAAGATTATAGCATGAATTTAAACCCGGAAATTAAATAAATAATACATCAAAGATAGATAATATAAATTAGAGAAACAGGCCTGACGGGAGCAGTCGTGTAAACACTGCCCTAGAAGATTGAGGACCCGCCTATCGCCCTGGCGCAGATGATCCCTTCTCCCCTAGCGGTAAAAACCCCCGGAAACGGCCCGGCCTCTGCACTCGGGCGAGAGTGCAGAGCTTCAGCTCAGATGAAGAAGTTGCCCATAAAGTAAAACTAAAGTATAGATGAAAATGATATGTAGAGGAGAAAAGAAAACAAGATAAGATTTCCACATTTTTCTTCATCTTTCTTGAGCTCAACATATGTTGTTTATATAGGGGTTGAAAAGGGCCGTTACAAAATCCCTCAATAAATTTCGTAACGTTCGTCATAATGTATAGTCATTATGCCCATTTTAATTACAAATTAAAATACATTAAAACATATTTTAATTGCATATTTTAATTACAAAAATTTATTAGAATTTATTAAGGCAAAATTGCCTTTTCTTTAAAAATATCCAACATTTTTCTCAAGGAGCTAACAACCAGGCGATGGTTCTGTACTTTTTGACCTTCTCCTTTGAAAGTTTAGCATGTTGACTATTTCCTCTCTCTTTTTTTTTCGTGCGTGGTAAAATGCTGACTAATTCCAACTGCCTCATCATTTTCTTCCGTCGATTGAGTACAAAGTCGACTTCTTCCTGCTTTTTTTTAAAAAGAGTAGAAGTCAAGGGTCTCAATTTTCTATGATTCTCTGAACCTTTAAAACTTAGTTTAAAAATGGGCAAGTGCTAAACATGGCAGAAATTATAGTTTTAATTGCACAGGGGATTCGTATATATTGAGTTCCTTCTGTTTTCTTTTGGCAACTGAAAAAGGAGGGAAAACAGCAAGAACTCCAAGCCGCAAATTGAGCACTTCTTCAAGCTCTTCTGATTGCCTTCTCATCCGTCAACAGTTGCAGGTAATTTTACTGTTATTTTAATTTTGTTATGTCGTGGTTTCTTATTTTGGGTCATAGGAAACTTACATGTTTTGATGAGCAATCGGGTTAATAAACTGAATATATGTGTTCTTGGGTGTCCAAAGAGATATATATGTAAATATGTGACGGTTTACACGGAGCTAATTGAATTCAGGGTCTGTGTCTGGTTTTATTTTGCTTATTTGATGTGATCAAAATTTCGGATAATACACTCTTTTTCATTCTGAAAACTTCTGATGTGCGTTCTTGTGATGGTTTTCATGGAGGGTCAGAAAGTTTGCTAATTTAATGATTTGATAAGATATTCCGCACGAAAGTAATATCAGAATTTCCTTATTTTTTTCATGAATTTTCATGCATACTTATAAAACAGGGTACTGTATAGGAATCTGAAATTTATAGTGAAGAATCAGTCAATATTCAAGGAAAGGCCTAACTGATCTTAATAATCAGAATAAGTCTGAGATATTAACCAGCATAGTCCATTTCTTTTCAATAAAGTTTCACAAAAAATCTTTTTTCGATGCTCTATGCTATGTTTTCCCCCCTTCTCTTTTGTAATCATCATCGGAGACAATCAATATAATTTGACAAAGATACTATTCCTGCAGGAAACTTGTTCTGATATCAGGATCATCTTCAGCGATCCTCCAATATCCTCCGTTCTGCAAGAAATCTCATTGCAGTGCTCAGTTAAGGAGTATTTCTGTAGATATCAGATACAAGAATGGCTTCGACGGATTCTGCAGAAACATCGTGCGACAATGCATCAACTCCTGCTCCCAAGCTCGAACGAGCACATTCTTCCAAGCTATCGAAGCTCAGGGAGTTCAAACTTCGAATCCCGTCTCTCAAAACAAGACTTTTACCGGAGGAAAGCCCAACCCCGAGAGTTCTTGATTTCTTGAAAGCCCGGCCATCAAGAAACTGGTTCAGGAAGCTCAGGCTAACTTCCCCTCTCGCTGTCTTTCGTAGGACTGTTAACAGACGAGAACAAGTTTCTCTTTCAGTCCCCTCTCCTGCGGGAATTCGTCGCCACTTTCATATCAGGTTCTTCAGAAGGATTGATTGGGCCTCGATATTTTCAATGTGCAGAGAGTTTCTCTGCCATCCTATGAATCTTGCGCTCATCGTCTGGCTTTTATGTGTTGCTGTCACTGGAGTTTTTCTCGGTTTGCTTTTCCTCGGAGCTCTGAACAGTACATTCCCTTCTAAGGCGGTAAGAAATTACTGGATGGAGAACTGCAACCAAGTATTGAATGCTCTTTTTACCCTGATGAGCATATACCAACACCCGATCTTCTTTCACCACTTGTTCATGTTATGCCGTTGGAATTCTGAAGACATCGTTGAGCTCAGAAAGGTTTACTGCAAGAACGCAGCTTATCGTCCTCGTGAATGGGCCCACATGATGGTTGTTGTTATACTCCTTCATATCACTTGCATTGCTCAGTACGGCCTCTGTGGCCTTTACTGGGGTTATTCTGAAGCATCCAGGCCTGAAATCGCCGAAACTTTATTATTTGCTCTCAGTGTTATTGCTCCAGTTTCCGCCGGTGCCTACACTATATACAGCCCTCTAGGGCGAGAATTCAATCTAGATTCAGACTCAGAATCTGAAGACTTGAAGACACGGACCAAGCCCGGGTTGAAACTATACGAGGAGAGAGTAGTAGTGAGTCAACCAGAGTGGGTTGGTGGACTATTTGACTGTAGCGACGATCAAACAGTTGGCTGCCTATCATTTTTCTGCACATTCTGCGTGTTCGGGTGGAATATGGAGAGGCTAGGGTTTGGTAACATGTACGTGCACATATTCACTTTCCTCCTCCTGTGCATTACACCTTTCTGGATATTTAGCAACACAGCGTTGAAGATTCACAACATTACCATCGATAATGTGATGTGGATTGTTGGAATAGTTCTTTGTGTGTTTGGATTGCTTTATGGAGGGTTTTGGAGGATTCAGATGAGGAAGAGGTTCAAACTGCCAGGATATACTTTCTGCTGTGGTTCGGCTTCGCTGAGTGATTATTTTCTTTGGATGTTCTGTTGGCCGTGTTCATTGGCTCAGGAGGTGAGGACGGCGAACTTTTATGATGTTGAGGATGATAGTTTGTATAGAAGACTATGTGAGAGTGATGAAGAGAGCCAGAATTCCAGTGAGGGTGGTTCGAGTGATCGTGGGTATGAGGTTGTGATTTCTGTTTCAGATGATGAGGTTGCTGAGTTGAGTAATGGCGGCGATGATGCTATGATTCCTCCTGTTCAAGTGTCAATAGACCCCGATATCGTTGAGGAAAATCCCAGTTTGTCATTGACACAAGAAGAAGGAAGCAATAGAAAGACCGATCTCCAGGTGATCGAGGTTGATACTGTTGAGGAAAATCCCAATCTGCCATTGACGCAAGAAGAAGGAAGCAATAGAAACACAGAGCTGAGGATATTTGGGAGGGCTTATCTTTTGAACCTTATAACGTACGCAAGCTTTTGGTGGCTTTTGGCTTTTATAATAAGATTTTTATAGAGCTTGTAAGCATAGAAAATTCATTTGCTCGATCAAACCTAGCTTATCTAGGTGAGCTCGTAAGCTAGTTTTTCAAAAGTCGGGAAATCCCAACTTTTTTAAATGGGACTTGAAGCTAGTTTGGCAAAAAAAAAAAAAAAAGCTTCCCCAAACACCCTCAGAATCAGAGATTTGTAAAGGTCAATAGCAATTATGCTTGTATGTACAGTTTTATTGTGCACAACTCTGCTGCCAGTTCTTGAATTTACATAAAGAAAAGTAATTACTACAGAAGCTGACCTTGTTTGAATTTCAATTTGGATGATTACGTTTACTCAAAAATTATTTTATTATTAATTAACTCTTCATTGTCAAAGAACACTGCTACCAAACTATGCATCCTACTAAAAGAAATTAGTTACCAAAAAATCCCGTCCAAACATTGATAAACACATTGATCAGTCAAGGCAAATCAAGTACAAACACTCTAAATTGTAGCCTGGCCCCAAACAACCAATATTTTTATGAGTGCCTTGATTTTTTTTTTCAAGGATACAACCTTCATTAAAAGGAAAAAAAAGGTAATTCTCTAAAATTAGCAAAATGTTCATGAAAAATTTGGATCAAGCCCCCTTAGCCAATAAAGACATCAATCCTGCCCCTACTAAGAGCGAGACATTAACCGCTACTTGAAGAGCTCATTTACCCTGAACCTTAGGGTTCATAAAATCTGCAGCAAGAAGATCGAAGAGTGCCATATAAATCAATATTCCCACGGCCGCTGCATTGAGAATGCCTTCAACAATGAGAGCAGTCGGGCTATTTTCGTTGTACACTGATGATATCCCTATACCTACTACAGGAGTTGTGAGGGAGAAAAATAGAATCATCATAGCCATTGATCTAGCTTTGAATTTTGCCTCCAAAACATAAGAAATAGTAGCATTTTCCTTCATTAATATGTAAATAGAAAAGATGATACATTGTTTAAACAAAGGGAAGAGTATCTCAATTAAAGTTAAAGAAAAATAATAAAGTTGTTTAAGGGAGTATTCTGCTTTTTCTGAAGTTCAAATCTATAGGCTATATTAGGCATCCAAATCCCTGTTCATCTCTGCCTTACATTGTATGAAACAAGAAGGATTATCTAAAAAACTTAAGAATCAAGCATCCTTGACTAACACTTTGATGTGGTTCTCAGTGGTCTTGCTTGCATCTTGGTATCCATCACAGGTTTGAAACAAATTTGTTTCTCATGGAAAGCAAAAAAGTCCTCATCTTGAACCCTTTATTTATTTATTTTTTAATTATTTTATTTTATTTTATTTTATTTTTTGTGAAAGACAGCTATCTAACACTGCAAGGAATTGATTTAGTCTTTAGCATATTAGTCTATGCCAGATTAAGAAAGAGAGAGCACATACTTTACATCAAATGAAATCTTCAGACGTGATAATTTTTTCAATAATAAGTACATAATTTTGGGCTTCAAGGTTTGCCTACAACTACAAGCCAGATGCTTCACTCTGTTCTTATTCAATAAACAAAAAGAAAGGCTGATTAATTCAGAAGAAAACACATTAGAAATTCTGCCAAAATGACTACAATAATTGTTAGTTATTTCATCCAGCAATCTGATCTTTCAATTGTCAGAGACCTTGCAGCCTGAGGAACTTTCAGGAGCTAATCTTGCCAGGTTCTTCTATTAATTTCTATTATGCTACAAAGCAAATCGTCTTATGATTATATGCTAAAAGAATTTTTCTGTGAGATGAGCTGTAAATTATACAGTAAATGGAATAAAAAGTCAGTTAGAAAATTCCAAATATTTTGATAATCTTTGTAGTTTTTTATGAATCAATACCTGCACTACGCATCCTCCAAGATCTGTACCCTCAAAGAACTGATGAAATGTCAGAGCAGTGACAAGAGGTCTTACAGTTGAGGGGCTCTCCGATGCACGCAATGATATTCCAATAATTACAGAATGAACAACAATACCCAATTCAAGAACCCGCACATATTTCAGAAAATTTGCCAAATTTATTGATCACTAATTATGAAAGCCTGACATGCTTAAAACAAAGGGTATGTTAGCAAGCAGAAAGTCTAAACCACGATAATAGCTGAGACCATGATAATTTCTGATTTTGACTAATAACTAAATCGATTAATATGAATTATCCCTTACATTCTCACTTTCGTGTCCTTTTGGAGTGTGTCTATACTTAGAAAAAGTTTTAAATAGGATTTTCTTCACATTATTGCTGGTGTACGGATATATTGTGTGTTGTGGATGTATTTCTTTGTTCTTGATCCTGTGTATTTCATTATTGTTGTGCGCGACGGAAGCTTCGAGGCGACACGAACAATAACTCGAGATAAATCACAACCAATAAGCAAATCATAATCACAGCAAGAACAACAAGTTTAACGTGGTTCGGCAAGTTGCCTACGTCCACGGGGCAAGGAGGGGGGAGTTTTCACTATTAGAAATCAAGAGAATACAAATAGAGTTACAAATCTCACCGATCAAACCCTAAAACAAAGCTCTAGATCTCTCACAAATCTCCCATAATTGGATGCAGCAACCCTCTCCAAAAGACTGCTCAAAATCGTCTTTGCTTTTCCCTAACTAATTACAATTAGAGTTATATATCAACTCAGAAACGAACCGGGTCAAAAATCAAAGCCCAGCCCAAAAATAGTCCGCGGTCGACCGCGCAGGTATCGCGATCGACCGAACCAAAAACCCGAGAGCAGAATTGATTACAGTTATGGCACGGTCGACCGCGACGGTCGACCGAATCTCATCCCGAGACCAAAAATCACCTACAGGGTACGCGCGGTCGACCATCATGGTCGACCGCCTTCAGCTCCGAATCCTACTGTCCTTCTGTGCACGTTCGCGGTGGCTGATTTCTTTGTTGTTTTGCGCCATTTCTTCAATTCCCCACCTCGGCGAATGTTTCTACCAAAACTGAGCCGACACCAAATCATCCAAACTAGAGCTGAAACACGATCTCCCCCATCGAAATCAAACCGACTGCATCTGAAAGACTGCCTATGTATTCTCTTGCCCAAGGAATCAAGCCAAACGTAGTTCACCCAAATGGCCTCCAAAGACCTCAATCCACTAGAAGAGTTCGCAACCCTTCTCCAACATCACGATCAAGTCTACGGCTGATAGCACCTCCAATGGCCTCAAACTGAAACAATCCAAACATCTCCACCTGAGATGAACCAATGGCCATATCCAGACTCCATCTATCAGCTACACTCGAATCGATCAACCTATCATCTATATCCGAAACAACATGATTATCAATCTGTGTCACATCAGCTGGAATCCCAAATGATACAGTATGATCTGGAGTCTCCACCCAACGTGGAGTAGCATCACTCTCCACCCGCTGCGATGTCCTAAATATTTGATCACCACTCTCTACCTGCCGAGAGTCAAATGTGACATACCTGCTCAGAATAATGTCAGAAGATAATAATTGATAATCAAACACGCATTTGACTCCCAAATATGCTATCAGATCAAATCACGTATCCACGATGTGACCAAGTGCTGGGTAACCAAACATCCGACGTAACCCAAAATCTGAAGCAGCTCCACCAGATCCAAAATCTCTACATGCAGCAGTCGGCAACCTATGCATAAGATGACCCAAACATGTCGTAGCTCGCACATCAAAGCCAATGCTCGACATCAAACGCCGATCCTCCTCCAGCAAGGAACAACTCCCCAAATCTGCCATCTCGCCTCGTCGTCTCAATGTTTTCACACCAATGAAGTGTCTCTTATTTCCGTGAGCTCGGCACAAATACAAGAAAGAACCCCTACCATAATCAGAACGTCGGGTTATCTTTCTACCAACACACTTCCTCCATCTGTTGCGGGCTTCTAGGACTTCACACCAACTGGACTTGGTTGTAACCTACCAATGCCTAGAATAATCCCTAACTATGGAAACCAAATACCAATTACCTCCCAATGATGCCTCCTTAGAAGACCTCTGAATGCCTGAATGAACACCCTTCAGAAGACCCCTCGAATGATGGATAGAAGTGCCAAACTCCACCTCAATCTTCTTACTCATACCATTGGGTTTACAGGACTTCAAACTGCAGGTTAAAACACTCCTTAATAACCTATGCACGGTATTATCAATCAAATAACACAGCATCAAACAATGCCACAGTCTAGCCGAATCTGATGAAGTCGTCATCTCTCTATCAATTGTCGTGCTTTCGAGCAAATAATACAAATTGCTCTTTCTGACGCCCTTCATCATAATCATAGACCCAAATGTGACATTCAAACGTGCATCCACTGAGATCATCCTATAGCCTGCTGCCTCTAAAGCTCCAAGTGAAATGATGTTCATCTTTAATTGTAGAACGAACCTCACATCATCCAACTTCCAAGTCACCCCGTCACTCATCTTAATCCGAACGGTACCAATACCACTAATAAAGCATGCATATCCATTACCCATGAGCACAACATCCTCTCTTTTCAACTTCTGAAAGCTGGAGAACAAATCCCTCCTAGGGCAAACATGGTAAGAAGCAACCGAATCCAACATCCACTCTGTAGAGTTAGCAACACAAACTGACAGTAGTGCAGACAACGAATAGTCTGAAGAATCCGAATCCGAATTGTTGCCACTAGTCTTGATAACATTCACTTCTGAAGTTTGTATAGCTTTCTCCTTATTCTTCTTGGCTCGATCTAACTTTAGGCATTCAACTTTCCAATGTCCATCATCTTTACAAAAAACACACTGATTCCTACGAATCCCACGATGTGCACCTCTAGACTGCGATCTCCTGCTTCGGTTTGAACCACGGCCATGAACTACTAATGCATCTCCCGATGCCTTCTCGGAGGGTTCATCGACACTCTACCTCAACTCATAATTCACCAACGCTGAGGTCACCTCCTTGTAACTAATAGTAGTTTTTTCATTAATCATAGTTAGGACAAAAGTACCATAATCATTCTCGGGCAACGAACACAAAAGTAGCATCGCCTTGTCTTTATCCTCAACCATGATATCCACATTGACCATGTCTGAAAGTAGCTTCGTGAAGTTATTAACATGCTCCCTGATGGAAACTCTCCTCTTCATCTTGAACTAGTAAAACCTCTTCTTCAAGTAAAGCTGATTCTTAATGCTCTTAGTAAAATACTTTTCATTGAGTGTTTCCCACATATTCTTCATTG